GTCCGCGGCCCCACCACCTCCTTTTCCTCCCCCCCCCCCACCTTCCCTTTTCCCGCACCGCTATGTGCAGCTTGGAGCCCAGTTAGGGAGGAGTTAAAGCTGGATGTAAGCTAAAGTGACTCAAACCCGTGCATTCAAGGGAACTGCTTCATCTGACAGCAGGGATGAGCCAGCTCTTTCAGGAGCGGGCTGGGGAGGAGCGGAGGCGGGGGGGGGATCCCGGTTGCTGGAGCTCTGGGGAAGGTATGCGTGCCGCACAATGTTACAGCTGCCCTCCCACTCCTGCTCGCCCTTAACCAAGTCACAGGCACCCTCGCGTACAGAAAGCTGCGCGTGTGCGCGTGGTGGTGCGGGGCGCTGCCTCCGCGGAGGTTTCCCCCCCCCCCCTTCCTCTGGGCCAGTCTCTTTGCTGCAATTAGCACTCATTTTACAGTACAGAAGCGCATTACATGCGCACCCAGAGTGATCTCAGTGCTGAGGTGCTAGCAGCACTAGCAGCCCGCTCGGCCCACAATGAAGCTCCGTGGTCGAATAGGGGAAAACGAGTGAATGCCTGAGATGCTGAACAAAAATGACATCGATTTACAACAGGGCAGCGCAACTCTCATGTTCCCTCTCTGAACGCGCAAGCAAATTTAAAACCCAATATTTAACAAGTCAGGAAGTTGGTTTGTTTTTTGTTCTTTTAGCGGGGAATGCGGAGGGAATAATACCTATTTGATTTTTTGTTTACTACTTTTTGTCACATCAGATTTGAAAGGAATAAAATAATTGAGCAGAAGGCAGCGAAAGAATTCACCTCTATTTTCAGCTTACTTGGTGCACATGCCTCCGCTTTCTGTATTGGCACAAAACTATTTCGGATGATTTCCTGCCTCAGGAACCAACCTGGTGACATCATTCATTCATCGCTCCCTGGGAAGAACAGCCCGGCGCTCGCAGCCCCAGCCTGCGCCTGGGAGCCTTTACCAGGCACACACCAGAGCAATCGCTGCTTTTGCAACGCCTGAAGCATAGGGAAGCGCTTTTCCTTACCTGGTGTTTTGCAGGGAATTAGGCAGCGACGTAGGACAGGTTGCACCTGATCCTTGCCACTGTCAAGTCCCAGAAGAGAGGAAAAGCTGTTCAGCTGAGGATGTCTCTCAAGCCTTTCTATGCAGAAAGGGGAAAGCCGAAAGACGACAACCACATTTTCCCCTGTTCCCAAGAACAGAAGGATTTAACAAAGTAAGGCCAACAGAAGAAAGCTGCAGCTGCCCTTTATACTCACTTATGCTCTGCTTCCCTGGTATGAAACAAGCGGTCTACATGCAGGTATTCCACCCTCTCCCTCTTTGCCCCGAGCTTCAGGTGACGCGCAGCTACCTTAAAGTACAACAGCATTTTAAATCTGCTACAGG